AGTACACATAACTCTCGGATACAATCCGAAGTTTCCACATTTATTTTAATTCTATTTTAATAAAAAGAAAAGGCAGTTGATATGCAAGTAAGTGTATTTCCTTTATATTCATGTTAAACGATAAGAGATGAATTTAAACAGCTGGTAATAAAATTTTTCTAAGCAATGATTCTGATTTACGTACATATGTGATTGATATCTATGCTCTCTCTCACGTTTCACAAGCAATCTATAACTATAGCTATATATATACATGTGAATTACTGACATTTATGTAGGATTGTTAAGTTGAAAAAAAAATGATAAGTGAAAACTGTTTACGTATGTGAAAGTATTGGATCTTTCATTTGTTGTTCAATTGAGATAGACCATTACATCAGAAATTTTTTCCTCTGTTGATTCTGAATAACTGATAATAGATTGTGTAGTTATCAATCCTAAATGATGGAGTATTTGCTATGAACTTCTCATCATATTGATTACTCTTATTTTATTACAATTTCATATGCTAATTAAAAATTGTAATTGTTTAATTGAACACATGTATTTATTATTCTAAAAGAATACAATTACATTAACATGTAGTTCATTGTCTCAATAGGTTCTCGTTTGTAAATAGACTGTATTTATTATATTTTAGATTCTTCTTAATTTTCAAATGAATCAATTTGACCTTCTTATCTTCTTGTTTTTTGCCGGACATATAACTGCACGTGGTATGTATTCTTTGATAAAACAAAAAAAAGATTTAGATTTGTCTTAAAATATTGATAATTCAGTTGTTTATTATCAAGTTAGTTGAACAAATGTCTGTTATAATATATACAAATCGATTATAATGTATCTTAAGAAAAAGTTCACTGTTCATTCAAAATTAACATAGTTATTCTAATTGCTGTATAAGACTGAGGAATCAACAAAAAGTTGAATTTTTATTGCATTTTTATTAGTTGTCGTAACGATAGTTTACACTTAATATCTCTCGTAAATCATGTGTCAAAAGAAACAAAAAATATTGACTTATTTATTTCTGAGAAGTTTTTATCATAAAAGCTAATATAAATGTTTTCTTTTAGGTCCACCGACTCTTTTACCAGATACAACTAATTTCAACACATTCGATATAAATGAGAATGATCCCATTGAATTACAATGTCCAGTTACTAATAGTCCTGATTTATCTATTCAGTGGTCAAAAAATAATGAAGATTTAGATCCAATGTGGTCACCATCAAATTTAGTTATCAAACGATTTTTATTAAAAATACGACAAGCACATTTAACTGATGCTGGTTTGTATAAATGTGACGTTGTCAATGGATTTGGTAGTATACAAGTACAATTTCGAATAAATATTAAATGTAAGTAATCTTAATATATTCATGTGTAATGAATTAATTAGACAATATACTTTTCTATAATAGCAGATGGAGCAATATCAACTAATGTTGATAACAATGAACCACAAAATGTAATGCCATGGGAAGCAGATTCATTACATGGAAGTATATTTATTTGTATTAATTGAATTTATTAATTTTTTTTGTTCTTCTAGAAGCACCAGAATTTGTTTCGCGAAGTGATGGTGATCAAACAGGACCGACTAAAGTTATTCAACCAGAAGGTACAACCGTACGATTGAAATGTTTAGCATCTGGTAAACCATTACCAGAAATACGATGGAAAAAAAATGGGAAAATATTATCAGCAGATGAATATGGTATTACACAGTAAATCTTAATAATGTTTTTCTTTTTACTTCATTAGGTCATATTATATTTTCGTTTTGTAGAAGTCAGATATTAATTATTAAAAATTTACGACAATCAGATACGGGTAGTTATACATGTGAATTATTCAATTCGTTTGGTGCTATCAATGCTACATACATTCTTGCTGTCACAGGTAACGTATCAAAAGAAATATTTTTCTTCTGAACCATATTTTTATTTCTAGAAAAATTACAATTTTTCGGTGATGATCCTCAAAATATAAGCGTTGATTTAGATAAAACAGCAATGCTAAATTGTCGTGTTCAAACTAATGATCCAACAACAAAAATTCAATGGTTAAAACAAATTAATCTTCAACAGTTATTTCGACCTGATGCTATTGTATTTGATTCTGAACAATATGAAAATGTTGAACAATTTCAAGAACAACAACTACAACAAAATTCAAAAAATATTCTATCAAGACCACTTATTATTTCACAAGTTACTAATAAAGATAATGGACAATATATTTGTTTAATTCAAAATGACAAAGCTACTAAATATAAGAAAGTTTTCATTGATGTTATTGATAATCATTATGGTAAGAAAAGTAAGGCAGAATTAGAAATTAAATGTGGACAGATTTATTAGATTAGATTTATCTGTCAAATATGGACTTGAGAAAACTTATGCAAGGCATTAGTTTTTTGATATTCTTCTACTATGCCTGTTTTTTTTCTGAATTCTTGCAAATATTTGAAATGTTTCATTTGTTATGAAAAGATGAATTCTCTTTTTGTTTTTGTTTTAGGTGTGACATCTTCAGCAAATCTTAATAATCATTTACTTTATGTGATTATCGTCGCTCTTTGTGTACTTGGTGTTATTCTATTTTTTCTTTTTTGTTGTCGTCACCGTTGTCGAAAAACGAATAATCATCATTATAGCCATCGGTTACATTTCACCGATGGTATAAAATCCTCGGTAAAACCTCGACAACCTTTAATACATCATAAGGGTCCAATGGTTCCATCGACAACCACTCGAACAAGTAATGATTATATTGCGAATAGTGTTGATTCAATACCAATTTCAAGACAATATCAACAACAACGATATGTAAATACTCTTTCATCGGATCTTGCATCAGTTACGAGTTCTGATTTGTACTATGCGCAAGTACAAGCTTTTTAAATCATACACTTAACAATGATATAATGGCAACTTTGGATTTTTTAGAGAAACGATAATAATCTATGGAGTTTGTCTTTTCGTTTGTAATATAAGAAATCTTCGTTTCTTCTTGTGTTTATTTGACTAATATATTGTATATTTATAAAAGAAATATAAAAAATTATTTACATTTATTACACTGAACAATATTTATACATTCAAAACATGAGATAACGATAAGTATTTGCGTTATAGTAGAAAAAGTTAAATAACAGAAAAATGATAATATGCTAGCTTTTGTGATGTAGATCAAATTTGACTAGATTGTGTATAATTTATACTAAGGAGTCGGCATCATTTTTTTCTTTAAATAAAAAATTGTTTGTTGAGGTATTCTTCGTAACAGTAAATCCTATACCACATATTAAATTAGATTGATTCATCAATTATTGAGATACAGATCTTGCTCACATCTATTAAACAGAAAAAGACATTGCTTTCGATGATATATAATAATAAAATGATATCTTTCGGTGCTCCGTAGTCTTTCCTTCTCTTTTATTGAAACATCACAAGATAGTGTTGAGTAGATTATAGAGTTTATGTTTTTTTTGTTGAATATCAACTTGTTTAACATTATTTATCAGTAAAACTCATTGAAGAAAGATTTTGAACCAATGAAAAATCTAAGCCAAAGATCTGATGGTATTAATAAAGAATTTTACTCATAAAAAAAATATTTTTCATCATTTATTTCACCAATATTAAGTAAAGATAATAATGAACATTTAATAATTCTTCATTATTGACCTAGTATTAAATATTTGAAAATGTAAAAGAAGGATCGAACATTTATAATCTCAATTTGATTCATTTTTAAATTAAGAAAGAGAATATATGTACAAGAAAATGTATGCATACATTCTTCTATCGCATATGGATCAACAGAATAACTATGAATGTATAGAAATACATCGTAAAATTAGATTGATTTCAATTAAAAGCAAATATAAAGATTTCATTGTGAAAAGAAAACAAACAAGAGAAAAAATAGGACTATCAATGAATATTGTCAAAATAAGGCATGCTAATTAAACCAATATTATTATGACTAATATTTTATCTGTCCTAAATATTATATATATTTTTCTCGAGTAACAATTCGTTTGATTAGATCACAAATATATAGTTTAGTATAACTGATGATCTATTATTATTTTATTATATTTTCAAAAATATTTATCGAAATAAAACTTAAATCTTGAAGGTGCGTGTGGGTATCTGCTCTTTCATCATCGTCACCCACATCTATCCATCCTGTTTTCAAACTGATATTGTTCAACACATTTTTCCAATCAAATGGAAAATAGAAAAAAAATAGATGTCATCACATTTCATGTAATAGATTTAATTTACTTGCATATATTGATGAACAATTTTATTCAATTAAAAATTTTGACAGTAAATCATATTATTATTCAGATGACATTGTGATGTGATCGCGTTCCTCATTATTTCTGTATGATATTTGATGATTTTCATCCCACACATAATTACTTTCATTATCATTCACCTTATGGCATTCATCTAACATGTATCAACATGGTGTAGATCTTTTTCATCAATAAATAAAACTCTCTCTCTTAGCAGTAGCGTCCTGGCGTCTTCAACATCAACAGGACGCTGGGACACTGTAATGTATTGGAGTTCATGGGTAATCTGATTTTGCGGCAAACTCAAAACTAGACACTTTAACTGCAGCATAAAGTGAACTATTATATATACGCTACTGCACTCAATCTACTGAGGTCAGAGATATAGTGGTGTCAGTAGCATCGCGGTCTAGTGGTGTAGGGTTGTGGTACCATGAAGTTTGTGACCATTCCAATAGAAACGTATAGAATTAAGCTCGACGCCCACTGTGTACACCTTTTCCATGCCCGTCGCCCGGCCCCGAGGCCGGGCTCCTAAAATTAATGATAGTGAGTGTTACGCGAGAATTTTGTATTTTTGTGACAGATATACAACTATACATCCATCCCAATATACCGTTATACCACTACACCGCTAGAGTTTTTAAATTCTTATTTTACTACAAATTCATTTTGTTTTTCAGAATAGCATTTTTCCACAAATTCATATTACCCGCCACATGATGTACTGGTGAGAGTTTTATTTACTACCGATAAAATTCTCA